AATTTATTTATTAAAACTGTTATCATTTATAACTGGCTAATGAATTTGAAGACCTCCAGAACTCAGTGGACAACTTCTCCAGAGTATACATGCACTACGGACTAAATGTGGCAAAGACCAAGGTCCTGTTCCAACAATGATCGAGACAACCACCACCACCTGGAGTCAAAATCACGATCTACGGAGAATGTTGAACAATTTCCATACTTCGGTAGCATACTAACATCAAATGCATCCGCTGAACAAGACGTCGATAACCGAATCAAGGTCACTCAAGCAGCATACGGGAAGCTACTCAAGAGAGTCTTCAACAATCCTAGACTAACACTAGCTACCAAGCTCATGGTCTACTGAGCTGTTGTAATCTTGACTCTCCTGCACGCCTGTGAGACATGGGTACTCTATCGAAACTTGAAAGATTCCATCAAACGAAACTTTGTCAAATCCTGCAGAACACAAGGCAGGACTGGATCACAGACAATGAAGTTCTCCTCTATGCAAAGATGGAAAGCCTAGAAACCATCATGACTTGACACTGACTTTGATGGGCCAGACATCTTGCCCGAATGCCAAACATCTGCCTATCAAAACAAATCCTCAGAGCTAACATCTGGCAAGAGACCAAGTAGAGCCCCACATTGTTAATTCAAGGATCAGGTGAAAAACACTTTGCTGAGGGCAGAAATCAATCCAGTCAATTGGGAGATGGAAGCTACACAAAGTACCAATTTGTAGCCTGGTATTGAACTCACAACTCTTTGGGTCTAGTCACTGGATCTAACCAACACCATATCCACTGTGTCCTTGGTATGAATTTCTGGGACTTATAAACCTAATGTCTCAGCAACCATTTTTACCAGTGCTCATATTGCAATTTTTTCATTATTATTATTTCATATTTTTTACCAGAGCTTATATTGCAATTTCATGTTATTTATTGCCTTTCTCTAGCACTCCTTATTGCTGGTTCCCATATTGTATTCATTTCTACGCTTGGTCAGCTCAGGAGATTTTTGGGGCCTAACATATGTGGTGATTCCTTAAGTTTTCATATTTTCCAGTGAGACATAGACAGATAAATACATACATATATACATACACATTATATAATAAGACTGTTTTCACAGACACAGTTTATCTTGTCCAGGAAACAGTTATATTTTTTTTAAAAAGTGCTCAGTACATAGTTCAGAAAATTGAAAGTGTAGAGCTAGTTAATATTTAAAATATTACAAACACTAAACTTTTCCACTATTGTGGTGTCTACCAATAAAGGTTTCCTTAGACAGTGAAAAGCTTTTCACTGCCTGAGGAAATCTTCATTGGCTGAAACCGCACTAGCAGAAATGGTTAACATTTGTAATATTTTATATATATATATATCAGACAAAAAAAACTTTGTCAGCAAAATGCTTTGTTTATAAGCTTTTCTACTTTGTCTCATCATCTTCACTTTTGTTTTGGATAATATTATCCTACAAACACAAATCAGATATTGCATATATTATAGTGATGTGAATTGAATTTCATGTATTCCATCATCCACAAATTAAGCAGATACTCTTATTGGTCATTCTATGAAATGGTATTTTTCAGATACTTTTATGTGTTCTGGGTTGTTGCACATAATTGCTTTACACAAAGATTCTATTAGCTCAGTTTTCATTATTACCTATGAATCAACTAATGGTTTATCACAATTTACCATCTGCATAATGACTTTTTAGTATTTCTAGAAATAACTTTCTCCATTGCTCTACAGCAGTGGTTTTCAACCTTTCTTTACCCATTGACCACTTTTATTCTTTATTTTTGGGAGGTGGTGATGGACCTCATAACCTTTTGATAAAAAAAAAAATGCTCATTATATACTAATATATACTTATTATACTAATAAATAACTTTAGGAATTGTATTACAGAAATAGTAAATGTATATGCTTTATTTTGAAATAAAACTAATTTAAGGAAAAATTTAACAACTAAATTCTATGGAACATTTATGTACATTAATAAAATAACTCATAATCAGCCATTTTAAAATGAACCCCAGTAATGTTACATGGACCCCCACAGTCTAGAACCACTGCTCTATAGTTTCCGAAATCTATTTATTCTACCATCTGCACATCCATTAACAATTGTATATACATGGAAAAATACACTTTTTAGTAATATCAAATATAAGTAAAGATTCTGTTAAGTAAAAATTCTTATTTTCTTTTATTTAGTGTAGTGTTGTAATATGAGACAAACTGAAGTCTTATTAAACTTAAAACAGCAGGACAGTTGCACAACCCAATATGGATCCTTTACTTTCTACTGATGACTGTCAGTAATTGGAGTCAACTTCAAAGTACAAGAGCAAGAGGCTCAAACTGAAAGAAAGTGACAGAAGGAAGATTAATTACTTTTTAGATTAAGATGACAGGACAAAGAAAACTGTTGTTTATAAAACTGACCATTCCATGAAGTGGGATTCGCAGAGGCACATGGACAACAGATGTTGAACTGCACACTTCCCCTCTCACTTACCCCTGAAACCAATTTCACTCACTTATAACAGTAAGTTACTACCTAAGAATAAATTCTGGTTTACTGATAGAATGTGTTTTGTTCTTCACTCATGGGAAATGATTTGGCTGAAGGGTAATTTTTAAGCTACAAGAATTTAACTACAAGAAACTGCACCCTGTCAACAAACCTGGTGTCTGATCTGAGCTGCAATGCAACAGTAGTTTGTCCTGTCCTTTTTAGAAAGCATGTATGATAATGCCAAAATGAAGTCCTACATTGTATCATACAGCAAATATGCTGCTAAAATGGACCTACATTTTTGTCTGCCTTCATGCAATTAATTTTATAATTTTGAAGCTTAAAAATGAAAAAGAAAGTTTATTTTGTCAAATTAATAAATGTGGGCTAGGATTGGAGGTTTGGTGGTGAGGTTTTTCATGATACCATGTATTGTAATTTTACCTTTAGTGATCATGTTTATACTTTAAAGTATGGACAGTATAGACTAATGAAAAAGATCACTATTTTCCCCAACCATCGAAAACCAAAAACTTTAAAAAGTTAATTTCCAAAAGATATTACATTCATATTCATTCAAAGCTCATACAAATATACAAGAAATTATTAAATATATTTCAACAAAAATACACATTTTAGTTTAATTGACTCTTTACAGAAATATGACCGAAGAAAGGTGAAATATACTTGACACATTTGAAAATAAACAATTCTGTGTTCATTTTTCTCACACAAATGAATAGGAAGGCAGAAGAAGAGAATGTCCTTGTGAAAGCAAAGTTTATTTAATTGGTCATTTTGGCTGCTGACATATTTACATCTGTATTTTTGGCTGCTTGCATCTTGTGTCATCATGCACATCTTTTTGCCTTTTCTTAAACCACCTGTGCTACTCACTGACACTCAGTTTATTCATAGCATGTTTAATGTAAACCATTTTTAATGTTATAATAAATAACAAATGCCTTAGCCATGGTTTGGACCTTGTACTCTAGTTAACTATTCCCTTCCACCACTTCAGTAGAATCAAACAGACAGCAGGAGGTTTGTTAAACCTGCTAATGAAAATAGAATTAACTATTTTGTTCAATATATACCCAAACAATTTCTACTTAATCAGTTCTTCTTATCTGCCTGGGGTGGTTATAACAATTGTGGCTCCTATTCCTGTTAATATTTCACTAAATATTTTACTTTGCACAGTATTTAATGTTCATTTACTGATTCAGATTTCTTTCATTCATTTTCTGCTAACAGTATAACATGAATGTGTACAACTTCCTCTCCTGTTCATCAACTTATGACTCTGCTAGCTTGCATGTTAAGAAAGTAAAAGTTAGAACAATTCCAGATATGTTTGAATACAAATGCTTGCTTGGCATGTTACCTCTGTTACATGATGTGGTCCTTCCAGGAATTAAATTATCATACCTTGTATCTATAAAAAAAAGATGTATGCTGAATGCAAATAATAGTATACACATCAAATGTTTTATATTTAAGGCTGCTTTTTTGTAATACTTGTTTAAGATTGAATTGATAGACACAATGCAAGTTGCATCACTCCAAATCAAACACAAAAATGATAAGTCTATATTTCTGAGATGAGTTATTGTAACTATTTACACTATTTAAATTGTTCAGACTGTTGTCCTCATCTTTATTGTAATATTCACAATGTTTCAGATATTGTATGCTCCGACCTTCTTCAGTGATATATGTTTGAATTTCATCCACTGGGGTAGATTTTTCTATTTCCACATACCATACCTTTTCTAAATATCTCAGTTTCAGTTATTTCCCTTTAATAACTCAACTATCAAGTTTTTATTCCCCTCTGCTATGGCCAGGAATTCAATTCAATACTGAACTTAGCAGAGGTGAACAAAAACTTGGAGAGTTAAATTATCCAGAAAAGGCATGGCACATAGAATGAGAACAATCTACCCCAGTAAAGGCTTTAGTTTGAAATTCCAACATATAACACCTGAAGAAGGCCAGAGCATACAATGGCCGAAATGTTGTGAATATGACAATAAAGATGAGGAAAAATGTCCAAAGAATGTAAATAGTGTAAATAAAAAAAATAAAAAATAAAAATAATGATCACTGTCAATAGCACAGAAGTTTCACATTTATTTATCATTCCTTGTTTTTCAATTCCGTTGTGTTTATTATTATTATTATTATTATTATTATTATTATTATCATCAAATCTGGTGAACTTATTTTAGTCTAGGTTTGTACATAAGCAAAATTCTTTTTTTAAATAAGAAAATTAGATTTAAGGAGAGCTCTATAAAAAAAATAAGTGTTTATCAGAAACTTGCAAGATTAGCATATTATCTCCCAGTTTATTGTGCTAAGCCATTTGCTTTATTGTTGCCTTTTACTTGCTGGTTTCAAAGAGAATGTACATAAAGATAGGTGATAAATATTTCATCAAATTTTTTTTTTTTTTTTCAGGTAACTGGTCCAACTTTAATACTTACATGGATCCCCAATGCTACATTAAAGAGAAACCCACGAAGTATAGAAAACAGTCCTAATCGTTCAGCAATGGGCAGCCCAAAGTCCAGTCCACGACGAACTCCAAAGCAGGATTATGCCCGTTCGGACAACCTGGCCACCCCGTCCCCCAGCATGTCCCCCCGCGACTCCTTAGTATCTATGGGAAGTGAGCAGTGTTTGTGGATAGAGCAACGGAGAAGGTCAAGGCAGCGAGATGATAGCAGCCTCTGTTCTGAGATCTCTGTGGGATCACGAGATGAGACTAGTGATTATGACTCATATCGTGACAAATTTGGACCCAGTAACAAGTCGCAGACAGATTCTGGTGTTGGCACTGACTGGGATCATACGAGCGGACAGTCTGCGCCGAACAACGAGAAGGCCGTTTCGACTACTCGCACCAGAGTCCACAAGGTGGGGGTCAATGTCAATGATCTGAGTAAAGAAAATAAAAGAAATCTAGACTCTGCAGATCCTTATTCGAAAACGTCAAAGTACGACAGCTCTTCCACAGAAAGTGAAGGTATAACACCAGAGGAGCAGCTGGCTGCTATGTTGAAAAAAAATAAGCTTTATAGGAAGTCGCGGGAACGTCTTGGCTCTGACCGCTCGGTGAGTATTGAGATGGAAGGGGACAACCTTGTCGTCGTGCAAGAGGACAACATGCTGAACCTCAACATCCACCAAAAAGAGAAAAAATATGATATGGCAAGTTCGCCATCCACTGACTTTGATCAGACAAGTTTGAGTTCTGATTCAACAGACCCGAGTCCAACTGGAGAACATTATCGGCTTATGGTTGGGGAGCTCCGACGGAAATGTGCCGAACTAAATGACCGGCTTAATGAATCAATGACTAATGGCAATGAAGATTTACTGGTCACAGAAAACCCAACCTCAGAGACTACAAGTTTAGATTCTTTTAGCTTAGAGCACCATGCTAATGTGGACACAGAGCCATTGCCTCCCCGTCAACTGCTGGAGCACTTTAACAATGGCAGTGACAGTAACGTACAGAATATGACAATACGAACACCAGATGTTGAAGTAACCCGGTATCGGCTATCATCCTCTTCAACCTCTACATCTGGTCCCGACTCACGTCCACCCACCCCATATCTCTCGCCGGATCATTCGGCAACTTCATCACCCAGGCATCAGCGGGATTCATTGTCAGGGAGCAGTTCTTGTTCGTTAGCTCATAACCTCTGTTTCCCAGAAAACTCAATGTCATATATGCGTAAAAGAAAAGAAAAACGCAGCCCCAAAGAACAAGTTTGTGGAGTGTTTTCAGTTGACCTTGGTACGTATGCTTTGAGATCACATCTTGTTGAAATCAGATGTTTGCTTTGATATTTGTTGAATTAAGCTATCATTGACAAAAATGACAAAACACTGTGACAAATGAATATTGTAAAATAAAGTTGAAATCAAATAGAAATTATAGGATGGATGTCAACAGAATTAAAATATTATTTACTTAATAAAATGTATTTTTTAATTGGAGTAATTAATTAAAGACGGAATGATAATGTACATTTCATCAGACCAGCTGTATATAATTTTTTAAAAGAGAAAAATCCATAAAATATGTTAAAGAACAATTTTTAGCATACAAGTTTTGTAAACTATTGCAATTTTTATTCTCACAAAGTATTCAGTTATTGAGACTTCCAAAAAACTTGTTTAGTAAATATTCCATTAACTAAAAATGACTAATATTCTATAAGTTTAACACTAAGTTCACCATTACATTATGGATAAGAATAATAATTTAGTAAAAGTGAGTAATTAATCCAATTCTGTCGCTGTTGATTAGATTTGTTGATTTGCAGGACTTCTCAGTATTTGTTTACCAAAAACTTTGGAATAAAATGAACTGACTCAAGGGTATAAAATGAATAATATATTTGGTTTAGATATTCGGGTTAACAAAATGTTCATTTAAAAGGCAGATATTGGTAGCAGTCTAGAGAAAATCCATTTCAGCTTAGTACTAGGTAGTTTCATAGTCAGACCTTGCTAGTAGTAAATGGTCATGTTAGAAATAGGTCAGCGTCAATCTATTGTGTTTTTCTTGGTCCTAAGAAAAGCAGAAAATATCATTAGCAGATGACCTCTTTACTCTTTCACACGCCACACATGGCTGGTTTCTCTGGAGGTCACATATCTTATTTTGAGGTTTCTCTTGTTGTCACATATCTTATTTTGAGGTTTCTCTTGTTGTTTCTTCTTGTCTCATTCAAAGCTGTAAGCTTGTATCCTTTTGACCATGATCCCAGACTTTGGCGCAAACTTTGGTTTCAACTAACATCAAAAGTCTCTTTGTGTCAATTTTTTGATTAGACAAAATTATTTTATTTTCTAGCATTCCTTTCTTTTTCATCTTTTTTATAAGGGAAGTTATGCATGGAGCCTCCCTAATTTTTGATATTTTTCAGTCACAAATAAGTAAGCTCTGCTCCTGCAAACTTCTCGTGTTTTTGGCTGGTTTCAGTCTTTTCTTCTTCATCCTTTTTTATTTGAGGGTTGTCTTCTTGTAGGCTGTGATAAAAGTATAGAGAGAGAAAGAAAGAAAGAAAGAAAGAAATAAGGCTTTTAAAGGAAAGTGCAAATGCCTTATTTTAATTTTAATTCTTTTTATTTTTCTTTATATATTTTATTTTCATATTTTATTTTATTTTTATCAGGACTTACTACAGATTTAACAATATTTCATCCATTGCTGGGTCATTCATGGTCAAATTTATTGTTGGTTTTGTCTATTACAATAGACATTGTTGCTTGCATCTGATTTAATTACTTTTGTTGAAACAAATATATAGTAATGGTTATATTAGTCATTTTCTTATAAGGAAGCATTCAGCATTCATTTACTGATCAGCCAGTACTACTGTCAGTTGAAATTTATAAAATCTTTCCCTTAAAATAATTTTTTCAAGAAAATAGGTTTCTCAAGTCCAGTAGCAGTTATTGTTCTTTGCACTATTGATGAAAGTTTCCATAACTTTTTATTTTAAGTAGTGTGGAATGTCAACATCTTGATTATGTCATTATTTTCTCTATATAGGACTATTTAATAGGTTGTGTTGGTTGATTTTATGACATATCAACCTTCATTAAATTATTTAATGTTGAAATCAAACGTTTTTTTTTATTTTTTTGTATGTATTAAACATCTGCATGATAGGTAAATATTGGTTGTTTATATTTGAGTCTATAAGCATTTATTTAACTTAGTTTTACAAATAATATTTCATCACACACAAATGTATATGTATTCAGAACATATCAAGAATATATAAAACATTATAATATAGATGGTAATGACGTTGTGTACTGAAACATTCTACTTACAGTGGTATTTTTGATAACATGTGTTGGCCAAAAATAGTACAATGGGGCTCCCCAGAGACTAAATCAGTCAAAAATGAAGAAACTGCATGAATTTTTAAAAAAAAAAGCATAAAATAAATAAATGAATAAAAAGAGAAAATTTTATATAAATAAAATTATAATTTTGTTTGGTAATGAAATGCTGATTAACTACAAATCTCTTTTTACAGATTATCTTTCATTGCTGATCTACTAATCTCATTAGGATTAACGTATTCTGCATTAATGACATATTTTCTACCTCATGTATGACAAAAGTAATGTTAATATTGTTTGTTTTTTTTTATTTCCATGTGCCCTCATTGTCTTAAGGACACATTTTTATGGTAGTAAATTGAGAACTGTATGAATTAAAATAGTTTTTTGTGTCTTCTGTAATAGCCACAATATGCTGAACTATGTTTTAAAATAATGTTTCATAGTTTTTAATTTGAAATATTCTTATAGAACATCAATTTATATATAATGGTCACCTTAGTACCAAATAAGTCAATTCTTATAACCTCTATGTCCAAGAATTTTATGGCACATTGATTCCTACATAGTAGTAATGCAGTCCTAAACTTTTTTTTTTTAGTTTTCAGTTTTTAATTAGATATCCAGATCTTTTCAATGGTTTGAATTGTAATGCCAAAAGTTGATAAGTGGTTTGTATAGTGAACTTCAAAATTTTAAATGCAATGTCAGTTGCCATATTTTGTCTCCATAAATCCTTTTTTTTTTACTGTCCTCTCTCCTTAATTATTTTTCCCAGATTCTTTCACTCTCAGTAACCTCTTGCATCATAGTGGCTTAATTGCTTTGCTTGCAGTAAGATTAAAAAAAGAACTGAAACAGTATCAGATTAGCAGAGACATCATTCAGCAAAAATGAATAAGCATGTTCGCAATAAGATGGAGTATTAAAAGGATGGTTTTTCCTAGGACACCACTTTTTTAACTACATTCACTCTTCAGCAATGTTTATTATTTTAAAAAGTATTGATTAGAATTTCAATAAAATCTAAACATATGAAAGTGAATTTATACATTTTCTTTGTTCTTGAGAATTGAAAAAAAAATAAACACTATTGGAATGGTTGGCTAATTGCCAATTGATTCAAACTTTATAAAATGGTAAATAATAAGGATTTCATTATAGTTGGTTCTTCACATATTTTAATAACTTAGTAAATGTTTATAAATTTATGAATAAAAAACTGTTTTCACATTTATTTCTTCATAAATTGGTAAACAATAAATATTGCATTGCATTAGTTTTAATTGTATTAGTTTTTAGAATGTAAATATAAAATTATTCTTATAAATAAACAATCTAATAAATAAATAGTGTTTACTATTTTTGTTGTAAATTATTAAGAACAAAAAAATATATAAATTCACTTTTATCATGTTTAGGTCTTATTCCAATTCTAATCATTGTTTTTTAACAAATAAACAGTGCCAAGGTAATTAAAAAAGTGGTGTAAGAGCAGAAACTAGCCTTTTGACAGTACATCTTATTGTGGGTATGTTTATACATATTTGCCTAACATTCAATCATATATCCACTGAGCTGGTTATTTTTTGTTACCTCCTAGAATCTAACCAATTGTAGCCTCTTGCTTAATAAAAACATACAAGATAAGTTTAATTCAAATGAAATTGAAAACAACCAAGATAGTCAAATCTGCTGATTTTGACTCCTTCTTGTACAATAATACTTCTGAATGGATTGAAGTCACAAGAAGCAATTATCAGCATCCATCTTGAAGTGACAGGTCAAAGTAATTGCATTGGCAATTATATTTGCTAAATCTGGTGCCCTAAACTTGGAAGAAAGTATACTGACCAACAAGCAGCCAAATTGATTTCCTGCAATTGTCTTGGCACTGTAACCACTTTCTTTGGAATCAATTTGGATTCTTATCCAATTTTTAATGTGGAGCTTAGAACTCTTCAAATATTTAATCTGGGAACTTTTCTCTGTTCCAATTTGATTTCAAGTTTTGTCTTTGAATATAAATCAAATGCTAGAAATGTTCTTTTTTGTCATTTATCATTGCTTAGAGAGGAGAACATCTCTTTGAACAATTCCTTTTAATTAAAAATAAAAGGCAAAAACATTGTAAATAGCATACACTAAAGAAAATAACCAATGAAGAGGAATTTTTACACTGTAATTGAATATTAATTAATGCATCAGATACTGTAAATGAAAAAATGAAATAAATATAATACCATTGCTACTAATAAAGTTTGTGTAAAAACTAATAAGGCCCCAAGTGTTGTGTATTAAGGGAGAATTTTAAAAGGGTTATTTTTTTTTTTACAATAATGTTTGTCCTGTACAAAGCCAAAGAGCCACTCAAAGTACAGAGTGGACAGTAAAAAAAGTGGTAAGTTCAGAAAGATATGAGACAACCATTGAAAACTGTTGACGACTGATGTGACTGATAAATTCAGGGAGAATTTCTGCACATATCATCAATGCCCATGTTGGATGTTCTTTGAAAAGTATAATAACTTGATGCTCAAAATCAGTGAGTTGTATGCAACTAACCTTTAAATGACAAGTCACAAGATCAAGCAGCAATTAATCAGTCATAAAAGAAGCAATCAAAGCTAAGTAATTATGCAAGAGTCAAATGATTATTCAAGGTCATGAATATTCAACAAATTTATTCAAGGTTATTTATCCCTGAAAGATAAAACAGTTATGTGCAGTCTATAGTATGAAATTAAAAAATTATTTAAAAACTAAATTTAAGCATTTCAAGACTCAAACCAAATTAAGTTAATTTAGAATTAAGAAGGGGATGGAAAGCCACTCAAATATAATTCCTAAGAACAGTTATGACAATACACAATTTAAAGATATACAGAGATACTGTGAAGAGCCATGATTGCTTACATTCTGAAGGAACAT